GATTTGTACGAAGATAGGCTCAGGAATTGGGAGGCCAAACCCGAATCCTTTACAGCTCTCACCCTATGGGGACGCTTGCCCTGATTTTATATTCCCTTCACCTGAACAACCAGCAATCTGCGCTGCTACTGAATTTCTCTTTTACACATTTCGTTCTTTGGTTGGTGCGCAGCTTATCCTCAATTGCCGAATTCTTGGTTTCTCTATGAGTCAAAATGAGGAGGTACCATCGGTGGGATGGTATAGTCACTTTTGTGAATTTGAGGGAACAGGGAAAAAATATTTCAGGATAGTTTGGGTAAACTTCATTTTCGCTGTTTTTTAAAACAACTTCGGGAATGGCCGTTCTTGTTGCTGCTGCTGCTGAGTGCTGCTGCTGCTACTGATGATTGACGACGTATCGACCAGGAAATCGGTCGATGATGGTCGTCTGTAGAAGTTGCTTGTACTGGTTACAGTTGGCCTGATCCGAGTATAAGTCGGTTGTTGTCGTTGTTGCGGGAAAATCCGCGGTCTTACGGTGGTCGCTATTGTTCTTGGACTTGAAACCGTTGTTGTCCGTGTTCTGGTTTGTCGCACCGTTGTCGATCTAAAGTACAATTCCTTAACTATTTTCAGAAAAAAAAAATCATAATACTGTAGAATGCTGTACTATAATTTTGATTAAAACTATAATAAGCAATTTTGCGGCTTTAACCTGAAAAATGCTTGATTTTTCAACCTGTTAATGTAATTTTGTAATATGCAATCCCAGCACGAATCCACTTGTTAAACTGTAAAGCAACAATCATTCATATGGTTAACAATTTGATTGCTTCAAGTTTAGCGCAAAAAAGCATGATTGCACCGGGTAAGCCTATTGCGCCGCTAAAATGTTTGCTACCTTAGTTGCATTTGCATAAATTTTTCAAAACGCACAAAAATTTAGTGGACAGCAATTTTGTGTGGCATTATGGTTGAACATGCATAATAATTTTCATTAATTATACCGTGTAGTTGAACGTTGTGGTGTAACGGGAACAGTGTGCGGTTTTTTGCTGCTGCTTTGTTGCTGACGCTTGGGCTGTGGTTGAAAACGTTGCGAAAAGCGGCTGAAATGAAAATTTTCAATTTCTCACTGACCACTGTAATAATGATTTTAATCCGCTTGTCCACCATTATCCAATAAAAAATTCTGGCGTCAGTCAAAAAGAATCAGTTGAACGGCGATAATGCTATTGGAAGCATCCCAGTAATGCAACTGGCGTGAAAGACCCGCACTGACTGCCAGGATGGTTTTGGTATTTTTTGAAAACTAAAAGCTACAAGAAGTTATGGCATTCTCAGTTATACTTAAGATATTATTTTCTTAAACATGAATCAGATGCTTCATACATGTACTGACAAGCACTGTCGATTATGGCGCAGTAGGAATTAGCACTAATAGTGCAAATCGAAGGTTCAGCTCCGCCGTCGAGATAACCAATTCCTCTAAGACTCGTTCGTGGTAACACTTTGCTCGGGACGTGAAGAGAAGTGGTTCGATTCCCTTTCAGACCAGAACAATTTTCGAGAAAAGACTCCGCTTGCGACAGGGCCACTGCTTGTTTCACATGTTCATTTCAATATTTTTAAAATTAGGGGACAAAAAGTTGAATCCACCTTTGGTGTTACATAACCCGATACGCACAGGCCATTCCTTAATCCGTTTTCGGATATACTTGCTTCATTAGTGAAGGTACTTTTAAGAGCATGGGGAGTTAAACACGCCATCAGATTGTTTCTGAACAATTCTCAAAAAAGGGCACCGTCAGGAACCCTGATTGGGGAAAGTGCCGTTGGCATTTACTAGCACTGGAGCTACTTCTGAGTATCTTCACTAAGAGTAAATACGGAGGGAGTTTTCCTGTTTCCATAGTTAAGTATTGTTGGGCGTGCAAATCGGCACAAAATCTCTTTTACTTGGAATGCGTTTTTGCCCATATGCAAATTGCAAAAACGCATATTGGGACGACCCTGTCTGTGTGTGTATGCTTTATGCGTTTTTGCCTATATGCAAATTGCAAAAACGCATATTGGGACGACCCTGTCTGTGTGTGCGTGTGTATGTATGTATGTATGTGTGTGTGTGTATGGTCGTGTGTGTGTGTGTGTGTGTGTGTTCGTCTGTCCGGC